ATACTTGTTCACTTCCAGCATTATTTGGAGGGATGGTCTAGACAGACACATTTGTCACACAGAAGCCTGTCATTAGCTGAAATGCTATTTAGATCATGGCAGTATAAGAAATGGATATAGGAAGGGCACAAGTGGGCTAGAAGAAGGAATAACCATCACCCTAAATTTGTGTATGTTGCAGTAAGCAAAATCTACATCTCTATTGTAATGACAAGTATACTGGGCATTGTGTGACATGAAGGACAGTAGAAAAACTAAGTGGTGATATAATAACCACTTGGGCCTCCAGGAGGGAAGTGAGTTATGTAATTAATAGTCTTTTTGCTGTTCAAGAGTTTCCACATGCTAGCAGAAGATGGGTTCTTGATGCCAGCTTTTTCTAAGAGTCTAATTTCACTGGAGTTATTATTTCCTCAGCACTATGAAGTTACCCACAGAGAAGATAACTTTGGCTCTTTGCTGCACACAGTGTATTTTGGATAGACATACTTGGACAGGAGAAGTGAAGGGAAGAAATGCATCTCTTTCCTTTCAGAGAAATTATGTGTAAGTACAGACTTCTGAGCTGCACCCACAATCTTAATGCTCAAAGCACACTTTGAACAACAAACATATGTGCCTCGAGTGATACACTTGGGTTAATGAAGCCTTTAATCCACAGCACTGCCTGCAGCAGTGATCAGCACTGCCTGCTTAATGCTCCCTCCCTTGGCACTGGGAAGAGTGTGAGAGAAGCCTGCACTTTGCAAGCTCCCCTAGCCCACCCTCCCCTAGCAACAGCTACAGCAAAGAATGTCAATGTCACAACAAGAATGCACGAGTTCAGTCTGAAAAAATAAATCGTGGCATGTAACACTATGCCTGGGCTTTAGCTGGCATAAATCAGCACCGCTTTTTCCTCAACAGGACCAAAGTTTTTAGGCTTCTTCCAAAAGGTGGGACTGACATAAATATTACTAAGATCCAGCTAAGCTTTGCTAAGGTGATGATTCCCTCCCTTCCTTCAGTGAGCTCAGATGCTTAGAAATATTTTCTATCTTTCATTTACATTGGCTTGGTTTTTATAGTAGTGCCATATTTCTATAATTGTCTATGCGGTATAAAAATGTGCATGTCTACAAGCCTCCTACATAATAAAATCCCAATTTATGATGCATTTAAGTAATGGGGGGAATTACAATGAAAGCATCCATGTTGCACAGAAACAGAGAATAAGCAAAATTAAGTATAAGAGTTACTTCTAACTTAGATGGTTGCTAACATTTCATTCATTAGTGCAGAAACAATACATCCTCTCTGTAAGAAGCAAAGGCTGAAATAGTTCCGGTGTGATCTGGCTTTCTTGTTTTCAGCAGAAGTTTGAGGATTACAGAGCACCCTTCCTAATAATAAACCTTTAAAGCTATGCTTCAACCTACTAACTGCTACAATTGCCCACAGTGCAGAGTATCTAAGCAACATGATTTACATCAGGTTTCCATACCCATCTGGATCAGTGTGGTTTGGCCCCTGTTCAGAAACACAGATGATACCCACCCAGTCCTCCAGCCCTATTCCATATTTCTTGCTGGTGAATATCTTTTGAGACTGTACCTTTCAGGTACTTTGCCCAGTTCTTGCAAATCACTTTTATACTCTGTCCCGGTGATATCCTGCATCTTTCCTGAGGGCTGACAAGGGCTGCTCTCAGGAGGGTGCTGCTACTTCCCACCCTGAAAGGACAGGGCTGAGGGCTCCACTTCCTTCATGTAGTCAAAACAACATACCCTTTCCCAACCCAGCTATCTCTGTTTAAAGATGCAAACATACCAGAGGAGAAAAGGGAAGGGATGGGGATTGTTAAGACATGGATTCTGGGCAATAATCTGTCCCACAGAGTGTTTCACCTGTCTCCTGAAGATAGGGCTGTGCTGGGTTGAGTACAAGTTAGGTGTGGAGGGAATGTTGTAGGGATGAGAGCCCCTAGTTCTAAAAGACACACTGATATCATCTATAACCCCCCCGCAAAGAGATGTACCCTCAGCCAATTAATATCTGTATTTCCCATGCCCTGTTTTCCTCAAAGTGCTGTGAAGCCCTACTCTAAGTTTAGTCCTAACTTTAGGGACAAAATAGGGTCCCTTTGAGCACTGAGCCTTATGTAAATGTCAGAATGACTGCATGTCTCCGGGCTCATCTCCTGCACACCTGTGGCTCCTACAGTCATGGTGCCTGCTGGGCAGAAAGGTCCTTAGGGCAAGAGCTATATCCCACAAACTCACACTAAAAACCACTTAGACAACAGTGTTGGGTGTGGGGGGAGCTGGACAAAAATCACTAATGAGTGCTCTTTTATTAAGGTGGGACCAGTGATGACTGAACAAAAATGGAATGAAATCTCATGTATCCACGAAGCAAATGTGCTATTTATCAATACTGTGCTTTAACTGCAGGCTCTCAGCCAACATGTCTTTATGCAGAAAAAACAGCTCTTAATCAGAGCAGTATAAAGAATAAAAATTTTGAAGCAGGACACTCCTGCTTGCCAGCAGAGTAAGCAGTGAAGCTTTCCTCCAAGGTGACTTCCAATCAGAGTGAGCATCACTCACCAGATGGAACAGGATGCCAGACAAATGCATCTTCCCTGCCACAGCCCAGCACCATGCAAGTCTAGACTCTAACATCAGCAGGGGTCCAGAGCTTTATCCCAACTGAGGACCTAGCACAATATGTTAAAAGGTACTTTGGCACCAGACTTGTTTATTTGTGGGCATGCTCCCCCGGCTCAGCACATATGATTTGTGCAGCATCAGAGACCACAGCCTGATGAGCTCTGCACAATGCTGTGGTCTCTCTGTGTGCACTGGGTGGACATTCCAAGCCCTCCAGGCAATGATGCACACCTGGCAGCCAGTACAAACAAGCAGTCCTGGCTTGATCCTCTCCATGGACCATGCCTCCTTGTGTGGTTCCCTCCCACTATCAGATGTACAGCAGACTTAGAGCTCATTGGTTTTAACTCTTGTTAAAAGTGTCCTAAGGAAGGAAAGAGTGGCAGACACAGGAGAGCAGGTTGTGTGTAAGCAGCCAGAGCCACGTGCTGCAGTACTGTACAAAGGCCATCGTTTTGAGCATGGCAAGAAAAATCCTGTCACTCTTATGTTTTCTTCTGGTGTTCTCCCCACTGAGGCTGATGCTGCAGTGTGCTGAGAGAGGACATACACTACAGACAAATCAATTCCTCTGGCTAATGTGATTATGCCTCAGGTGCTGCCCCTACGGAGAATTTCCCCATCATGTCATGGCAGTGATATCCATGCCAGCTCCAAAGACCCAGAGCAAAGGCAGTACAGCACAGAGATAAGGGCTGGGCCCCAAGGTGAGCACCCAGCTGTGGACAGACCAATGGTCACTGCCCTTCCCTTCAGCAAGAGACTTGCTGAAGGAAGCCCACCAGCTGTAGAACTATCCTGCTCCTCACCCTCAGCTGTGCAAGGGCCACACCACGCTCCTGGGCAGCACAGGCTGCTGTGTGACGCCGATTCCAGCCACCCTTCTGGGCCATGGGACAGCCAGCACGGAGCAGCACCTCCTTCAGAGCAACACTGACATGATAACCAGTGACAGAGAGGTGCAAAAAATTGCTCCTCAGAACACTGAAGGCTTGCAGCACTTCTCTTTGTGAGCTGTGTGAAAATCAGTCGTCCTCCCCTCTAACCTCCACAGCAACGGCAAATAATTGCTGCAGCTCTGGTCAAAGCTCCTGGTTTTATCATCCCTCCACCTCCCCATAGCTTCACACCTGCATTAGTTGCCTTTGGAGAAGTAAACTGTTCATATGTCAGGGATACAGCCAGAGCAAAAATGTGCTTTGTAACATGTCAGAAGTGCAAGTGAGAAAATAAGGTTTTTTTTCATTTTCCCCCCCAGTTTACCTTCCTAAAGTCTTCCGGTCTGAACTCTGTACACCCTTCCCAGCACGTACTTGTGTTTTAGTAATCTGCCTCAAAACTCAGTTGAAATAACACTCTGTAAGACCGCCCCAGATGCACTATCACAACAACCAAGTACTGCCTTCTGCAAACTGTGAAACAAATCCTGTCAGTTTCTGAGCCATTCCAGTACTGTCCCAACATGAGATTTTTACTTCCAAGATACACATACACAACTCATTATAACCAAAAGCATTACTGAAGGACAAATTTAGTTCATGGCATGGAAGTACAAAGATACCAAACCTTTTTTAACTATTTTGGACAACCACCCCAAAAAAGTTTGGCACTAGAAAGTTATAATTTCCAAGCTACTTCCCTCTGTCTCTAGAGATAGAAGTCATCCCCAGGCTGCTGATGAACTTACCAGGTACATGTTGATAACCAGGGGAAAAGTCATCCACACTGTCAGACAATACAGCCTGCAGTGCAGAACTGGCAAAGCAATTTAAAAGTTTTGAACACCAGCTTTGTGAGTTAAGATCAGGACAAGATTTCTACCTGCCAGAGAGTATGCAATAGCCTGGCCCTTAACCAAAGTATTTCAAAACAAGAAGAGAACGGATCCACAGGGAACAAGGATACCAGCAGTAGGTCTCCAGCACTGCAGCAAAGCACCAGGAAACTTTCCCAGCAACAGTTATCCTTACAGCATGTGTTAAGTCTGCTGGGGTATTCCAACAAATCCCTCACTTTCTGGAAAGGGGAACATGCAAAGCAGCATGTCTAACAGTGCAGCTTCTCTGCTGTTCTGGCAGCTCTTTCAGCATTGAAACAGCCAGCCCCTGTTCACCTGCAGGGGCAGCTCCTCGTATTGCTGGCACAAGCCACAGCTCCTTCAGTTACCAGCTTGGTTCCATCAATCCAAGAGTTCTACTGCACACATCACCTACTGAGAATAACAGCAGCGAGTTGCTGCCTTATTGCTGGTTACGTTAATTAAGCATCGTGACACCCCATGAGACAGGCAGGTGACACCAATCCCAATCGTGTCGTTAAGTGATGGAAGTGCCAGACTGACTTGCAGACGAGACCAGGTCTCAGGTCACCCAACCCATGGTAAAGGTCTGCCCCACACGGGAGTCAACACACGCCTGAGCCCAAACCAAGACCCGGACAGCAAAGCACCTCCGGATGGCGTGGCAGAGGTGCCAGCGAGGGCAAGGGAGGCCGCGGGGACAGGAGGATGCTGCCGGGCACTGCCGCGACGCGAGCCCGGGGCAGCTGGGGCAGCTCCGCTCTCAGCAGATGCAGCGCACGTAGAGCAGACGTACCGTGGTTGTTTTTAAAAACACACACGACAAGAGGAGGACGCAGCGGAGAGCCGCCCGGGCAGGCGCACCGCTGGAGCAACAGCTGCCGGGGGAGGCCGGGGTGAGCATCGCGGGGATCGGGGGTGGCGGGAGGAGAGGAGCGCCCGCCGCGCTGGGGGACAGCGCCGGGAGCGGGTGGGAGGCACCGGCCAGGAGCGGGGCCAGCGCCGGGAGCTGTGGGAAGGGGCGCGGGCCCCGCCGCCCCGCCCGCCGCGCGGCCCGCACTCACCACGGTGACGGGGGACACCATGTCGGCGGCGGGGCGCTGCTGCCGTGGCCGCTGTCGCTGTGGCCGCTGCCCAGCCCGCTGCCCTGCCCGCTGCCGGGCCGCTTTTTAGGCGGCGCTCACGTCACGGCAGCGGGGCCCCCGCGGCGAATGCGCTGCGGGGACGAGGAGGGGGCGGCCCCGGGCCCGCCCGGGCGGGCGGCGCCGATGGGAGCGGGCGGCCCCGGGCCCGCTGCCGGCGGGGCGAGCGCCTCGCTCGGCCCCGGCTACGGCGGCGTCAGCGGCGCCTCCGCCTCCCGGGCGGGCGCCCTTCGCGGCCGGCGGCGGCCGCGCCGTGCGGCGGCCCCTCCCCGGGGGCGGCCGCAGCGAGCGGCGGCGGGGCTGCGCCGCGCCCCGGGAGCGCCGGGGCCGCTCCGCTCCGTGCCCCGGGGCAGCGGCGGCGCCTCGGGCAGCGCGGGGTCCCCGGCCCAGCGCCCGCTGCTCCCCGGGGGCTCCCGCCGGCAGCGCCCGGTGGGTGCGAGCCCCGGGCCGGGCGCCCGGGACGGGACCGCGCCCGTCGCTGCCCGCTCCCCGCGCCGCACCGTGCCGGGCGCCGGGCGGGAGCAGCGCGCCCTGCAGCCCTCGCTCGCTCCCAGGCCCGGCCCGGCCCGGCTCCCCGCTCCGCACACCTCCCCCTGCCCGTACCGCACACCCCAGCCCCGGCCTCTCCTCCCTTCCCTTCCTGTGGCCCCCCGCCTGCCGCTCCTGCTCCTGCCCTTCCTTTCACATCCCTATTTCTTGCACAGTCCCCTGCGGCCTTCCACTCGTTCTCCTCCACCCTGAATCTCCACCACCCCATGTTGCTCTTTTTTTTTTCCGTTTCAGGGACTTCTCTCATTTCACAGTTGCCCTCTTAACACTTCCCATCATCTCCAGCTTAAGACCACAGGTGCTTAGCAATCCCTCTCCCTTGCAGGGCTCGCTGTACTTTCTAGCCCTGTTCCTGCTGCTAGTGGCTGTTAATGGCTCCTGTGCCCCCCAGGACCGGCTCCCTTCCAGCTTACATCCCCATTCCCCATCCTTCTGCCACAGCTTACATCCCCATCCCCATCCTTCTGCCAAGATCATTCAGAGGCTACAGAAATGTTGGTGTTGGCACAAAGACAAGGCAAAGAACATTTAATGTGGGATACGAGAGAGTGGGATGCATCAGCTCAGACTTACTAAAGTGACCTTGGGAGTATCTTTAATTTGTTTTTACTTGAGGATTAATATTTAAGGATGCAAGAAGCCACTTCACGTGTAATACGATCTTGCTCACAAGTTTCACTTCATGACAAAACAAACAGGTACTTAAATAGTTGATGATTAAGTAATTTGCTATTTGCAGGCTGAGCAAAAGTCATGTTCAGTATCTATCACATTGAGGGAACACTTTCTTCTTTAAAGAAAAAAAAAATCAGTGCAATCAGTGCAGTTCTTTTGCATTCTTTGTGCAATAGATTGGTATCACATTTCTGAGGACAAAGTGTGTATGAACTACGGTCCCAAGGTCCCACATGGGCAGCACAATTCCTGTCAGTAGAGATGTGTAAATAGAGAGGGCAGTGTGGCCCACCACCATCTGACAGCACCAGGATGGACACTGCAACCTTTGCGTCGCTTCCCAATCCAAGAGGATTTTCTACCCAAAAAAAAGACCCTGCAACTCTGCGCTGTCAGAGGCATTGTAATGCAATCTGTGCTAGGTAAACCTCAGTCAAATGAAAGCAAGTTGTTCTCTGTAAAGCAAAGATCTGGGTAGCCACAGCCAGGGGATTGAGTGCTGATATTACAATTTCAGTTAAAATAGGTCATAGGACAATAACAATTTTATTAAGCAAAAAGAGGAAAAGCTTTCCCATTCTGGGAGAAGGTAGGTGAACTAAAGAAGGGGAAGAATTTTCTAACCTTTACAGAATAATGACTTTGCCCTTCTGAAATCAAGGTCCCTAGCAGAAGCAGCACAAGCAGAGAAATTTTTGTGATGTTCAGTGATACAATTCATTTGTTACTATACAGGATTTTCAGAAGGACCAATGGACTCAGAGAACTTGGGCTCCTAATCGCATTTGGAAATCCTTCTGGGACCTTGATTGTGTCTTGGCTTTTCAATATCTAAAAAAAACCAGAAAAATCTGCTCCTTGGTCCTTAGCCAAATGTTCATCTGTTTATCCCAGTCTCTCTGTGATGATCCAGGCCTGTGCAGTGGACAGGGGCATGTTTGTATTTGGTTTTGTCTCTGCTGCTGCAGAAGTGTGAGAAGATATTGACAAGAATGCAGCTTTAGATTAGTTCTCTTTTTTTAGTGCAGTTTCTGTCTCCAGTGGCTGCCAGCTGAAGCTTTGCCTAGTCTCACATATAAGCTATTTCTCTGTGTTATTGATGCAAAATTCAAAATACATTTACAGCTCAGGTTTTTTGTGCAATGTTATTTTCTCAGAGAAGCCTATCAGAAGGGAAAGGGAAACTGTGTGCATGTCCAGATTTCCCCAGATTTCACCTCAAACAGGCTCTGGGAAACACAGTCTCATTAGTTTTGTTTAGGAAGGGGTTGACCTTATGGGATTTCCAGACAGTTCCTTCCACAAAGCTTTTAGAAATAGAGACTCCGAAGCTTAAATGGCAAATATGGTACTAGTATGTAATAGAGATGGCTCATATGACAAAGATTTTGCAAACTGAATATAAGTTGGAAATTTGTTGTTGTTTATTTAATATTATGTTCTTTCAAAGGCTTCAAAAATAAGTGTTTCATCACTTGTAAGTAGTTCTATGTAAGTGAGAGACAACTCAGAGTATAAAGTAGGAATTTGGATAGAACAGAAATGGCTTGCATATAATTTTACATTTTATCTAAATAACAGAAATATTTTATGTTTAGTATAAGTTAGGAACACCTTGGAATATAAACTAGGAATCCGGATATTGCAGAAAGATTTTACATTCCATTTAAATGCAGGTTCCGATAGAAAAGATCCCGGCTCAAATCCATTCCAACTGTAAAAACACCAAGCATCAGATGAAGAAAGGAAAAGGGATACAGGACTGATGGCATCATAACACAGTTAAATTTGTCCTGGTCTGTGCATGCCATGCTTTTGGTGGGGTTTTTCTGTTGGTAGTGTTGCAGTCTCCTGTCCTGACTAGTGCAGGCAAGAGGGATCTCATATGGCTCATCACAACATTTTCTTCTCTATCAACTGCAGGAATTTAACAAAAAATAGAAACCAGTTCTAATTTGGGGTGTGTGTGGTATTTTTAACTCACTATCAGTAGGCAAACAGAGAGCAGTAATTACATGAGCATAAATTTATGGGGGTTGGGTATAGCAACACAAAGCATTAAGTCCTTCTGTGCACGTTTGTGCTTGAAAATACTTCTGCTGGGCCATACTTCTTTTTGTGGTGTGCAGGGTGGGGGAAAGACAGCAAGAAAAATCTGTTTATTACACAGGGAGGAGATTGTCTTACCTCCAGCAATGGCTGGAAAAGCTGAAAAATGTTTCTCACATGGAGGTGCCTCTGGAATGAGGGGTCTGATGGAATGGGCTCTGCCAGTGGGTCATGGAGCCAACATGCTTTGTTTTGCACTTTCAAATTTACTATTAACACAAAAGTGACTGGGAATTAAACTACTCAAGAACCAGAAACAAGTGTACCATTGAAGGCTGGAAAAGTTTTATTTGAATTCATCTCTGTGAGATACTCTTGAGCCAGTTTCTTGCTGGCTGCTCCAAGCACAGTGTCCCAGTTCCAGGGGCAGCAGTGTCTGCAGGATACATCCAGGGTGGCTTTCTATTTTGTCATATCCAGCTTGTCTAGGCTTGTTGGTGGTTTGAAAACTGGCCATTGCACAAGTTCCCAATGTTTTTCATGTCAGGTAACCTGGTGCTTCTTTCTGTACATGAGGAGATATGGGGCTGGTTTTTTTTCTGTAAAAATTTATTTCCTGATCCCTAAAGAAATGCAGAAAATGCAATTGCTTCCCTTGTGATGGCAATTTCTATACTGACAACAAAGTATTAAATTTAGAGAGCAGAATTAACCTCTCAGTGAAATAAAGGGGGGACACTGCAAATTCATGTTTCCTGAGAGCACTTTTTCAGGCTATTTATTGAACCAGAAAGGCAGTATATAGTCTATTTATAGGCTATGTATTTGAAAGTTTCCTTCTCAGGCATAAAACCACTTTTCTATTGGGGCTTAATAAATGCTCTGTGTGTGTGTGTCCATTTTTATGGAAAAGTTAGTATTTCTGGACATGAGCACGTGTATAGCTAAGGAGGATCCACAGTGCAGGTCCATTATGGAATTTTCTTTGTTTTTATTGGTTTATACCCTAATCACCATCAAAACAAATATAATCTTATAATCAAACATTATAATCTTATAAAAAATTAATAGTGAAGGAAAAATAGTCCCCATTTTTAAAAAATTTCCATTCATCATGGAAGTAAATCACAAAATCTTTACAGTTTATCATAAAACCATAGAATTACTTGGGTTGGGAGGAACCTTTAAAGATCATCCAATGAAAGCCCCTGCCATAGGCAGGGAACTTTACATGAGGTCGTTCAAAGCCCCATCTTTCCTGACTTCAAACACTTCCATCATGGGGTATACACAACTTCTCATGACCATTCTAATGAAAAAAAAAATCCTCTGTATATTCAATTTAAGTCCACCCTCTTTTGATTCAAAACCACTACCCTTTCTCTCATCACTACAGGCCTCAGTAAAAAGTCTTTCTCTGTATTTCTTTTAAACTAAAGGACAGCAATAAGGTCTCCCTGAAGCCTTCTCCAGGCTGAAGAACCTCAACTCTCTCAACCTTTCTTCACAAGAGAGGTGTTCAAGACTGAATTCCACCAGGGCAGGATAGTTGCAGTCTGAGTTATCACCAGTTTTGTCATCTCCAATGGTTCATCCCTGTTGATAAGCAAGCGGACTGCTCATGCTTCTCCTCTGGTCATGCTGTTTGTCACCTGGGTACAAAATCATCCTCAACACCCTCCAAGAGTCTCCTGGATTGCTTACAGCTTATGTGCTGCTTTTCCAAGAGATATCAAGGAGTGCCCCAGCAGGATCAGAGCATGGGGGCATAGTGTTTCCTGTAGTCAAAGTAACAAGACTTCATCAGCAGCTTCCC